TGTGTGTGTGTGTGTGTGTGTGTGTGTGTGTGTGTGTGTGTAGGTGTGTGTGTGTGTTTTGAAAGACCTGGACTAATCACATGGCCCTGAGAGTACATGAGTATGGGGTGGGGGAGTTTTCAAAGGTTGACCGCAGCAAACAGACGTGCATGTGCAAACACTGATTTCACACACATCTAATACCTTTCTTCGGCTCGTCCACTCTCGCCATCTTGTTCGGTGGCGAAACAAACTCGTCATCACTGAAGGGTAATCTCCTCATACCCGTGCTGCAGTGGGTGATACACAAAGCACTGATTTAAAAAAAATAAAATAAAAAAAAAAGAAAGAGGCGCAGCAAACAATTTCCAGGCCACAAAAAGGAAAACACACAAAAGACACACAAGCATTTCCTAGAAACAGCTAAATGCACACCGTATTATTGAGAAGAGGTCAAAAGGTAGACTCGGTTCAAAACAACAGTAAACAAGACTTAAGAAGAAAAAAGATCAGCGAATTCACCTGTCTTCTCCCTCCTCTGCTGCGAAAGGCTGTGTGGGAAACAGAAAATAGACCACTCAGTTTTAAAGTTGCAAATCACTTAAAGGAATCAACATAAACACAATGATAGCTGTACAAATACTGCAGTTGTAACGCTTTGCGGTTGCGGCAAATTCAGTCAACTCGGTCAAAGGCAAAGTAAACAGCGAAGTCCGAACACTGTCCTGTGTTGACCTGCTCTTCATCTTTTTTTTTTACCGTCAGTCACAAACAGCAGGTTTACATTTCTAAAAACAGAGCAAAGCTAAGTCTGGACCCAGATTTATAAAACTGGATGTAAAAAAAAAAAAGCCACAAAAACCAGATAGATACATTTAAGAGGATGTCATAAATGTATGTTTGAAATTATGTTTTCAAAATTAGCATTAATGAAATAAAATACGCTTTATTGTTGGGAACCTGTCACGTATTGAGCCATTTGTTCTGCGTATTGATCAGCTTGCTGATAATAGATTTCTATTCTGGGAGCAAAGTCAGTCAACTCGTCTTATCGGGATCAGATTACACAGCCTGAGTCAAGTTCAGAGCCACGGGATCACAAAAAAATAACCCCCTCCCTTCAGCCTTGTTAGCAAAGTAAACTTAAACCGGGGAGAAAATATTTGCCAGCTGGACTCAGTTCAAGCTGTTCGTAAAACGACCAGCAGGGGGCAGTKACAGCTCATAGGAAAAAAAGAGATTTCTTGAGAAATATTACTCCTCTGAGTTTGTTTTCACTAAAAAATAAAGCCGATTTCTGATTATGTAAATAAAAATAGATAAAAGCTTGAGTATGGATGCTGAGTTTGCTTCCTRACGCTCGAGTGTCATGTTAGCCATTCATCCGTTCATCCCGCCTGCTGGAGGCAAAGCTCAGAGTCCAAACACGCAGAGAGGACGTGCTGTGGTTCAAAACTGATAAAATCCTYAAACTCCTGCCCACAGCCTTTTAAAACAGAATATTTTTCTCATTTCTGCTCTTTTCTCACCAACACTCTCAGCAGCGTACAGTATGCAGGAATCAATAATAAAGAAAACGGCACTATTTCCTCCCACCACCACCTGCCTTCAAGTTCTTCTCTTTGCGCTGCACTTATGAAGACATGAATCTAAAGGTGGGTCTACAGGAATTGTTTTCCACCCTCCTAGCTTGTTTTGAGTCACTGGTGAATGATTCACGGTGTGAGTAAGCAGTCTGAAACCCTGCCATCAGTACGTAGGACTCCTATCAAAGCTGGAAACCAGAACTGTCTGTTCCTGCCAACATGCATGCAGGCGGGTCACCTCGACCCAGRCGGCAGATGGGCGGGAAGGAGCCGAACAACAAAACTGTTTATGGACCACCACTGTGATCACGATCCTGTTTATAAATGCAGTAAAAGCAGTAGGTTTATGCCACATTGGCTTTAGTGGAGGCATCAGGGAGCGGGCGGGGTTTCAGCGACGGCACTCACGTGGCGCTGGAAGTTGGAGAAGTGAAGGTCGGGGATGAACAGGACCGGCTGGGTCTCAAGGTCAGCCATCGTCTTGAAGATGGTCACGTCGTTCCGCTTCTGGAGGAGGGGGACTTTTACATCGGAAACTGCAAGAAAACAGGAAAAGACGAGAGAAAATCTTCAATTTGGACATTAAATAAACATATTTTGTCATTTTCTTTCAAAACAAGCTTCTTTTCACGGGTATTTGTTCTGTTTTGACTTTTATTGTTCTGTATTTTGTTAAATTTGTTGATGTTATTATGCATTTATTGCTTTATATATATTAAGTAATTATGAATTTGATATCTTATTTCCCTTGACAGAATCTGGTCAGGTGAGGTTTTATATAAATCTGTTAGAAAGCTAGATATAAACTTTGACTTGATGTTTCAGCTTATTTCTAACCTGTTTTAGTGCAGTGAAGTCAGCATTTACTGGGTCTGAGTGAGGAGGAGAAACCGAACAGTCCCCACTGATAAACTGTGGACCGGTGATGTTTGTTGGAAATGTTTTCATGTAGATTTTAAGAAGATCTGGTTGGTTCAAAACTTTTGCACAGTACCCACACAGCACACAGGATGCGGGCCAGGTCTGGCAATGATGGAACTGTTTTTAAGATGGCATGTCACAACTGMCCCAACTGTGGTTTGGTTTATGTGGCCCAAATRTGTCAATGCCATAACTAGTCTAGTTGTGGTTTGGTTTATGTGACCTACATGCCATAACTGGCCAATTGTGGTTTGGTTTATGTGGCCCAAATCTGTTAATGTCACCACTGGCCCAGCTGTGTTTTATTTTTTATGGTGCTGCTGACCCAAGTGTAGACTAAGAAAGGGCCATCATTATTTACAGTGTCTGTGCCGAGTGCTGACCAGACAGATATGAGCCACGAAAAGTCACAAGTTAATTTCTTGTGTGGGCCAGAACTGGGCCAGACAAATMTTGCTATGTMGTTATACTGTTTATATAATCATCGTCTCCTTGTTGCATTCAGATGTTCAGATGTTTTCCAGGTTTCAYTCTGTTTATTTAGATGGGAAGTTACCTCGACCACAGGTCTAGACCAGTTTACATGAGATGAATCAAAAATAACCGCGACTCACAGGCCAGACTGGCAGCCAGCTCGGGCCCCTTCCCTTTCCGGCGTGACTGTTTCCTCTCCTCGTCCCGGATCTTCCTCTCTGCTCCCTTGTCACAGAAGACTTTGATCTGGCAGTAGGCGCGGTGGATGGGTTTGTTGCTGCGGTTGTTGTAGCTGTACGTGTCAATCTGCAGGTTCAGGGGAAGACCCTTCACCCCTTTCTGAGACGAGAAGTCCGTGCTCAGGCAGTTGACGGAGATGAAGATCTGTGGAAAGAAAATTTAAAAAATAGAGATTCACACTTTAAAATGTCGCTGAATTAAAGCAAAAATAATTAGAGTAATTTTCATTCTGATCAGCTTGGCTTTGACTTTTAGGTCTTCTTGCAGCAGGTGCTTCACTGTTCAGTCCCAGCTGCAGTTCTGTGGTTTGTGCTGCCCTCTATTGGTTCATTTTAGCAATGAAATACTCATTTTCTATTCCTTTGTCCTGATGCTTTTACCGAAAACAGGTTCTCATTGTGTCAACAAAATACGTAATCATAACAGAAGGTCTGAAAACACCAAGCAGGAAGAATTCACGGGGGTTAGTAGCGGCTATCACTTATATTTCACATTAAATTCAAGAAAAACCATCTCTAAATGTGGTTTTGCACTCAATAAAGCAATACAATTATGTTTTAATTGTAGAACATATTTACAGCTTTCAAGTTAATGTCAAAGAATAAAAAAAATCTTTGTATTTTATGCTTTTATAAACAGCTGCTTTGTATTTGTTGTAAAGTATTAATAGGTGGCAAAGAACGTTTAAAAGGCAAATAAAGACAAYACCTCATCTACAAAACACACAGGAGGGGCTTCTGTTTGCAAATTTACTATGAATACATAAATGATGTATTATCTTCCCCTCAAGGCAAACACACACACCTCCTCATACACACATTTGTGCGTCTCYTGTTACTCCACCACGACTATCTTAACTCCACGCTTCGACCCTAAACYTGAGCTTAAACCCTCAATCATCTGGAAGCGAGGAGGAACCGAACAGTCCTCTCTGCTCAGGCCCAACACACACATTTATAGTTTGTAAAAACAAAACAGCATCCATCTAACACAAAAACATATTTTAGTCTGTAATCCGATAATTTACTGAGGCAACATTTGAAAAAGAAAACAGGACAGTGCAGAGGTTAAACAAGAGGCGTCATAAACAAACAAGGATGAACATCCTTTAAACGCATGCCTCAAGTCAAACACTGAAGAGAAGAAAAAAAGATACGCACTCGTGACTTTGTTTATGTCAAGCGTTTGCAACGGAAAGCTTCAGCAGACGCATATCAGCTCCGAGAGGATCCTCCTTCCTGCCGCTTTACCTACCAGTTGAGCAGGATTTTTATTTTACTCAATCTTGTCTTTCATCCCTCGTGCTAAATTTCCTCATTCTTGACTTTTTGTTTTAGAAATACTGCAGTGTGAAGCTTTAGTTCAGACCAGGTAAGAATTTCTGAGCATAGGATGATTGTTTTGTTCAGTGACACACAAAACGGTAGAATCTAAAATTGAATAACTAATGAAAAAGTTGCTGTTTAGGTGCGACTAGAAAGAACTTTGGTTACTTCTTGATGAAACCTACTGATTAAACAGCCACTGTTGCATTTTATGTTTCTTTAAATAAAATCTGGGATGCTGGACTCAGTGTCATCGCCATAAAAATGTCACATTTCTTACTTTGGCCTCTTCATTTGTGTCCCAGGTGAAGGAAATGGCGTTATAAGAAATCTCCTCGATATTGCCAATGGTGTTGAAGCTTTCCTTGTAGTCAGCTGAAACAAAATAATCAGTTTATAGATTAATTAATAAATAAACCCGCTTTAAAGTTTAGGTAGTCGAGGTAAAATGGCAGCTAAAATTATAATAAAATAATAAAAATGATGTCAAAATTCCTCATACATGGYCTTTTAGATAAAAGTCTCATTTCTGCAAACTTGGTTAATAAAAGACAAGCTGTGATTTGTGGCTGTTCTACACACGCAGTAATCCCTCATTACCAAAACTTAGCTCTGACAATCAGACTGTACCGCTTTAACACTTGTTTAAGATCCTTATTAATGTTTTATTCATCCAATCACCAACATTCTGTCAAACCAAAAATAGTCTTGTGCTTCACCAATGCTAAAAAGCTAAACCAGTGAAAATTAGCAGACGCTAACACTAACAACTAATCGCTAACGGCTAACGCAACAGTCACCCAGTCTGCGTCACGTSTTCTGGTGGGACTGACACAAACCTGCTGATATTAGTTAGTTGTTAGACTTAAAGTCAGCTAAACCCAGTTTAGCAGAAGCTAATTGGTCTGCTAACATTTTTCAAGAAAGCTAATCTGCTAAATTAGTTCTGCTATTAGTTGTTTGCTGATTAACASAACTATGTTCATTCATCACTGTCTGATTCCAGTAGTGTCTGAATCTTCTGCTTTTTGCTCCACAAGATCCTTTTGACACTCTACTTTTAAACTCTGACCCAAGTTTGCTTTAAACCACAGCTAGTGGTAGGCACAGCTAACCAAAAAGTTAGCTTTGCTAACTTATAATCCACTAACTATATAGCGATGCTAAAGCTAAACAGCTCAGCAAGTAAAAAATAATTGAACGCTAACAGCTAAGACAACTCTCACTAAGTTTGGGTCATGTCTTCGTCTCCTTCCAGCTGACGACTGGTGGAACTGACAATAAATCGTTGGTTTTAGCTTGTTAGTTAGCTGTTAGCAGACTTCAAGTTGGCAAAAGCTAATGTATCAAAAGCTAATTAGTCTGCTAACTGTTCTCAAAGTTAGTGAAAAGGCTAATCTGCTAAACCAGTGTTTTTCCAACCCTGGTCCTCAAGGCATACTGCCCTGCATGTTGTAGAGGTCTCCCTGCTTTGACACACCTGGTTCAGGTGATTGCAGTTCACCAAAAGCCTGCTAATTAGTTATCAGCTGAAATCAACTGTGGTGAAGCAGGAAAACATCTAAAACATGCAGGCCAGTGTGCCTTGAGGACCAGGGTTGAAAAACACCTTTTAAGTGTTAGCTGATAAGTGGAAGTATACCCACCACTGGCTAATCTTAAAATCTCTCAACTTTGACCTAAGTTTACTATAAACCTTAGCCAACATTTATAAATCTTACCAATATCCAGACACCTRTGTTTAGCCGTGTGCTGTCTGGAGTGCCAGTACTTCCAGTGTTTCAGCTGATCATCCCGGCACTTTTCTTCTCCAAACACCACCATCACTACGCTCTYTCAAGAGAACACAACCACCGATTTACACTCCAGTGAAGAAAATCTTTTTGTTTTGGTTCATTTTTTTTAATTTTATTTCGTCCGTACCCTGACTTTGGTGATGGGCTGTTGAATGCCTTTGCTGTCGACCTCCCTGAGGGTGATCGGGTAAAACTGTCCCTTATTGAGGTACGTCATTGTCCCGTCACCAGTTTTCTGACGCAAGGACTTGGACGCCTCGAGAGAGTACTCAAAATTACTCCTGTAATACAGAGAAATATTTATTAAAAATGCAGTTTTCACGTAGGAAAAGAAAAATCACCGACTGAACTATCAAAACTGAGCAATTTGGTTAATTTCATGAGCTAAATTTCAATGTTTTTTGTTTTTCTAAATAGGTACAAATCTGGTTTCTCCCCTGCGACCGATATGAATGAAGCTTTTCAGCTGTGCCGTGTCATAATCTGAACGCCTGCGCGACTCACCCCGGCGRGGTGTCAAACTGAGTGTAGTCCTCAGGCGTCATGGAGGCCATGCGTAACTGGAGATCTCCCGGGAAGGAAAACATCTGTAACGCACAAAGACAACGGACGGTTAAAGCGAAAGAAACGTGTCATAGAGCTTATCTGGTCTGTCATATTTTTGTAAAAACAAAAAGTTTGACACTTCATGCTTTTCCCTAGAAGTTAAAAATGGGCATGGTCACCTCATCCCTTCGGTCTATTTGTTGGGTTGCTCTTGTCTGAGGTAATTCCCCTCCAGATTAAAAAAAAGGAGAAAGAGGTAGGAGGAAAGGCTTTGGCTATTGTACGGGAAAAGTACAGCACTTTATTGTGTTGGTGAGACAATGGCATAATAACACACTGGCCACTATTTTACCATGTTCAAATAAAACCAGGGAAGGCTGAGCCCACCCCTGGCTCTGTGGGATCAGGTGAAAACCCCATTGTTTGATAGGAGAGGAGAAAAGTGAAGGAGAGGGGGGCGAATTGAAACGCTCACCTCCTGGGAACCGTCCTTGAATCCCTCGGTGAAGGTGGAGTCGGGGGGCGTGCGGGCCTGGGTGCCGGGGCTGCACTGGACAGTGTTCTGGGGGAGGTGGCGGTTGAAGACGCCCACGTGGCCATCGGTTTCGTTGCAGTTGTTCGGCACGGTCACGGTGAAATCGTGACCATGGGGCGGCCCCTCCGTCTTGACGGGCGTGTAGGTTGGCACGGTGGCGATGGAAACTGTGACAGTCGTGTCTGAAAGGTCAAATATTAGTYAACCAACGACCAGGTTCTGTTTTTAATCCTGTTTAAGTCACTGAAAGGGAGCAGACCTGGGGAAGGGAAATGTGCCCTCTTGTCCTGGGTCAGCTGAAGAATATTAACTGGCGCTTTGAGGACTTGGATCCGGTTCTCCATGCCGGCTTCTTGGATTGGAACGATTGGGTGTCTGGCCTGGATTTGGTGCCTGCAACACAGAAAGTGTAGCTCAAGCTGATTCCATCTAGCACTGGTTTAAAAGTTCATCTTYAAATCTAGCTAAAACCACTATTTACGCAAGAGGACTGGGGCCACAGAGCAAAAAAATATTTTTTTCCCCTGAGTTTTAATCTCACAATTCTGAGAAAGAAAAGCCAGAATTCTGCGATTAAAGTCAGAATTTTGAAAATTTTTCTCAGAATTCTGCAAATAAATTCAGGATTATGAATTTTCTTAATTCTGAGAAAAAAGTCATYATTCTGAATTTAATCGTAGWATTCCAAGAAAAAAGTCAGAACTCAGGAAACACTAATGTTTTTTTCTCTGTYGCCCTAATCCTCTTCCATAACTARAACATCATCGCTCTCTGCTGAGCTTTTATTTTTAAAGGGGGTGGTATRAGTGGATGCTCACCTTTTGTTTGGATCCACATCAGAGACCAGAGACTCTGTCTTGGGCTGTATTGTTCTCTTTTCCCTGGGCACCTGCGTACGAAGGGTAAACACAGCCGCTCAGCYTCTGACCACATCACATCCAACAACACGGGTCATCCTGCTGTCTCTACGGGCAGCTAGATCAGTTACAAACTACAGCTCTCTGCTTAACAGATGTTCCATAAAGGTCAGGTGTCACGTTGTGGATCATGTTTAAAAAAAACTGTAAAACTTTAATAACAAAACCCAGTTTGGTGAGGAAAGTGATTTTTTTTAAACCTCYTAGTAATCGTAGAGAAAGCCGAGAGCTGCGGCGCTGTCCTCGTCTCCGTTGATGCTCATCATGGCTTTGGTGGCGGCGGTCAGCGGGTTCTCCAGAAACGACTTCCAGGCTTCGTCCTCTGTGGTGAAGGAGCGACGCTGGCTGCCATAACCCTGCTTGTTCTGAAGAACCAACACCGCTCGCTTACTGCAAAATTGGAAACGTCAAATTAGCCACTGGGTACAGTTGTTGTTAATTTGGCTGCTTCCTTCTGCAGGATAGAGCGTACTGAATGATGATATTGAAGATTTGGATGTTTTGAAGTGGGGTTCTGTTGAAAAACAAATAATATCTTACCTGCTMCACATAGTGCTTTTATCAACCTCAGTTTAGAGAAATATGAGTTTAATTTCTGAACAGATTAATGAGCCAACAGGATATCCAAATAAGGTCAACACCAAAGCAGTTGATGTTTTATAACCCTGTACACCACTGTTAAGGGCTCGACACATGGGAAGCGATGTCGCTCGCTCTCCATTCATTTCCAATGGAGCCTGTGCGGTGAGGCGACAATCGTTTGCCCTCCTCCAGCTAAGCGACCGGCGAAAATAGTGCATGTGAAATTTCGCGCTCGTACACGTGCACATGCGAGCTTGCGACGCAACACATGAAAGTTGAAAAATGTTGAACTTTTGTCGCTGTCGCTTAGCGTACAACCAATCAGCGAGGGTTTCGTTGACTGACCAATGAGAGGAGAGTATGCTACACACTGCAGTTAGCTAACACTTTCACCAAGGGATTACTAAAAAGCTTTGTGGGAATTTATTGGCACCAGGGTGAAGTTTATGGTAAGTTTTTCCTCATAAAACTGTATCTTGATGTGTGTTTGTTTTTCAATATCATTAGCATCACAAGATTTATTTAGTTTACACGTCCGTAATGCACACCCGCCTTCAGAGCCAAGAACCAATCAAATTTTGTGAAGACAAGCGATCTGAGAGCGCGATTCGCAACGCTGCGATCGCTATCGCGTCCCGTGTGTCGGGTTTCACCCTGGCTGCGATGACAGCCGCTAATCGCTGTAGTTTGTCGCTGCCTGTGTGTCGAGCCCTTTAGCCTCCTGCAGAAAATGATCAGATTTGGAGTATAAGTGTCAAACAATGATGGGGTTTAAAAGTTTATGTTAGCGTGAAGTGAGCTTGGTCACACTCGGACTAGCCTTTAGCTCATCAGTCCAGTCAGAGTTAAACTCTGTTTTTCCAAAATGATGTCATAGAGCAAGCTACGTCATGTAACATGCTCATTGTTCGTAACATTTCTGCAGGATTTCGCTACTTTATGAAGTTTTTCATGAAAAAATGCCATCAGAGCTCAGAAATGTTGGAAAGATTTTATACAAAAACTGGAAATTTTAACGCAGTGATTCTCGACAGAGACTCCGGAGAAGCTCCGCGAGCCAGAAACTTAAAATAATAAAAAAATCACAGCCTCGTTAAAAAAAAATACGACTAACAGGTTTTAAGTGTAACAAACCCAACCAAGTCYAGGATGTTTATCTGCGGGACTTGTTGTTCAGGCTTTTCAACGATTGCGCAACAAATCTCAGCCATCGAACAACCGATGAGACTCGACGCGAGAGGAAAAAAAAAACATTAAAAGTCGCATTTCAGGCTCGTCTGGTGGGACGACTCCAGATCGGGGATTGCCATTGGCTGCTGAGCTGACCGGAAGTGACGCACCTGACCCGGCTGCATTCCTGCGTTTCAACAACAACAAATTACTGCGGGTTTTTCGGAAGGGCGAGAAAACCTGTTTGCGAACGACAATAATGACTTCTGATGAACCGTAACCTCCTGAAGTGTTTTTCCACTTGGGCCTTTTTTTTCCCAACTCATTAGCTCTTTAAGATGACTCATTGTCATGTAAAAATGCTAAAACTTGGACAAAGACATGTAAAAACCGACTGCTGAGTGGATGAAACGTCTCCATTGTTTACAGTAAATTCACATGTTTACCCATCTTCTTTGACTCGTTGACCTAATAATAGTTCTGGTAAAAAACACACCTGTCTTCTTCTACTAAGCAATTATGTTAAATATGTTKTAGAACAAGCTCAGTTTCCATGTCAACAAATTATGTTTTTTTTTCTTGATTTTCTCAAAGTAATAATTAACAATCTTAAATCTGATTGTGCTTTTCTATAAAGCAACTCAAAGAGCTGTTATAATATTACTCAATATAAGCCGTTATAAACTTCAGGCTAATAAATTAGGTTTTACCACAAAAAAAGGCAACAAAGTTTCAGAAATGTCTCATTACTTTTAATGAAAATTAACAAAACAAAACTTCCTGTAGGGGATAGAACATTTAAGGCTTCAGTTGTCTTTTTCCACAATATTTTGAGTAAAAAATAAAAATAAAAAAAGAAATCCCACCACAAGCCCAGATCCAGAGCAGTGCTGGCTTACATTGTCAGTGTTCGGGCCAACGCCTAACAGGTGTACAGTTTCACTCAACTCCAAACTCTTTCTTTTTGTTGCCCTCAAACTACACACAGAGTGTAGAGTATTAATCTCTAACAGAAAAAAAATATCGCAAAGCATATATATGTATATATAATTTCTGATTAAACGCAGTCCATGCAGGGTTTTATTTATTTTTTTGGCTCAAATGTTGATCTGTGCGCTTTTTCTCCTCTGAACAAACATTAAAAAGTCAAAACATAACTGTTACAGTTTGAAGCAAATCAAACACTAAACCGCCCATGTCGATCACGGGACAGCTCCTCTGCTCTAACAAGTGAATCCACCTGAGTTCCACCTGTACAGGCTGGAACATGACAGGTGAAACGAGCGCACTGACACCATGGGAAACTGGGAGCTCGCGCCCCTGGCAGAGGTGAAGTTTGGGAAAACTTACCCACAAAGATTTTTAAAAACCCGAAAAAAAAATTAGGAGCTATGATTATTCCTAACGTGGTTTCTAAATGTGCGACAACAGATATTAAAATATCAGGCAGCAGCTGCGCGTCAGAGTGGTGCCAAATCCATGCGTAAAACCAGGAAAAAGACGCACAAAAAATAATGTGCGTAAAAATGTAAGAATCTGTATATTAGAAGCAAATAGTGTCAACGTGGTCTTTGAGCAGGTCTAGGAGTGGAGAGTCAGGACAACTTACTTGTCATGCTCCTGTGACATCTCTGTCGGTCGAACTGGACTTTCTAGTTGGTTCTGAAAATCCGACCCGTCTTCTTTAAGGTGGAAAACTCCTGGATGAGGGCCGCGGCAACAAACAAGGTGTCCCCTACCGAGAGAACGGGTTTTGTCGGCTTTTCTCGCTTTTTGGGGGCAACGTTGAGAAATCGAGGCCGGTTCTTACCTGTGAGGAGGCCGCGGATTGGATTACAGGTGCCGTGGGAGGCGGGGCCTGTTTGTTGATTAACCCGAGCGCGGCTGTGATTGGCCCGGCTGGTGGCCTATACCTGGAGCTGAGGACAGAGGAAGAACAGGTTAAAAACAAAATATTGATTTGTACTGGGATAATAACAGCGGGATAAATTTCATTTTATTTTCTTTGCAGTTAATTTAATGAGATGTGGAAAAGAATCTTAGATTATATTTATAAAATACTTTCAAATATTTAATAATGTCCCATTAGTGACAATAATCTGATGTATTTGTTGCAAAATAGCAACTTCTGTTGCATCACTCAAGCATATTTTTTATAAATGTTGCAAAATTTGGTAAAAAAAAGTATTTTTGTACTTTCTTAGTCTCATCTGCCTTTTACCATTTGTGTACATTCATTTTATTGTTTGTTTGTGATAAAACATTTAAATTAGTCTGGTTGACACGAATACAGAAATAAATGTGTTGTATCTCTTCTTGATGTTGTAAAAGTTAAATATAATTAAAATATACGTTTTTCTTCTCAGATTTATAAGCATGTGAGTTGGTTTTAATCTAAATACTGTTGTTCTAGACCAGGGGSGTCAAACTCAGTGACACAAGGGGGACAAACATCCAAAATTGATCCAAGCCAAGGACCAATTTCTATTTATTGATGACCTTTTACAATTTATGTTTTATAGCATCAGAACCTAATAAAAAGAAAAATATATAAAAAAAAACACAATTCATATAATGCCTTACTCTGCCAACAACTTTTTAAAATTTATCTTAGTGATACATTTAGTACAATGCAACAAATCAGGTGAAAAAAAAAGAAAACCACCATTTAAAATCTAAATATTTGATGTTATGTTAGGGCCAGATTTAGTGTGTGTTCCAGACATTAAATAATGTGAAAACGACTCTTCCAGTTGTAGATATTTTGTATCAGAACATTAAAAGAAAACGTTCTGCAGGTACTAACATTATTCATTTTTCATCAAAAAGTAACAAAACAGTTATTTTAATRACAGCACAAAGCTGAATGCTGTGAAAAGAAAATGAAGTTGATGTAAAGATTCAGCAGCTTGTAGCAGAACCTCTCAGGTTGTCATGTTTGAGATCATTGTTCTGTTTTATGACCTGGTTTGTTTGAAGTTTTAGATGTTATATCTCATATTTAACTGTTGAAAAATTTGATGTACAGAGAAGTACATTAACAGCAGAGATGTCAAAAGTATTCACAATCATTACTTAAGTAGAAGTATAGAGGGTTTAAAAATACTTTTTTGGAAGTAGAAGTATCAACTCGAGCTTTTTACTCAAGTAAAAGTATAAAAGTACTGGTCTTAAAACTACTTCAAGTATAAAAGTAAAAGTAATGAACACTGTAAAAAAAAAAGGCCATTAAAGATAAAATCTTAGGCTGTGCCACAGGGTTTATAGCATCCACCCCACCCCACACACACACACACACGTGGGACACCACCTCCTCCTCTTCCTGGATCCTGGATCTTTGTTGGTTCATCCCTGTTGGAGGGACACCTGCTTCCACCGGGTCTTGTTTGTGTTTGCACTCAGGACCTGGGATAATTCYGGGAAGCAGGAATACGAGGATGGGTTTGTTTTTGGTGACATTTGGGGGCAATTTTAAGACAAAAGGCCTACCTTTGGGGACAATTGGTGCATTTGGGAACCTAAGTTGAGTCCCCTTTTGGTTTCAATGCCATTGGTGGGTTGGGTTTAGGACCAAAGGTGTGAATTGAGTTTAGGTTAGTTTTAGGGTCAGGTGTGTACTGGGGTGGTTTGTTTTGATGGCTCGTGGTTAGACTATAGAAATGACTGGAAAATGAATGGAAGTCAATGCAAAGTCTCCAAGAGGATAGAAAAAATGTGTGTGTCTGTGTGTGTTGTTTCTGCAAAATAGCTACTATCAAAGTGAGGTCTTTGATGTAAAGGGAGGACATTGTCCKAGTCCTTTTGGCAGCTCTACTGTGCTCTGCTAGTTAGGTTTAGAGGTACGGTGTGTTTTGGTTCAGGTTAGGAATAGACTAGTAATGTTAGTTTTAGGGAAAATGTCTGGATTAGGCATAAATGCAGTTACAGGACAGGAAAATCCATCACATCATTCTCACTTACATCTAGGAATAATTTAGAGTTGCCAGTTAACCTAAGACATGTTTGTGATCTTTGGGAGGAAACAGGAGTACCTGAAGAAAACCCACACGTGCACAGAGAGAACATGCGAACTCTACCCAGAAAGGAAGCTAATATTCTTTCAGAGCTGAAAGAAATCCAGACTAATCTCAAAACATAAATCATGGATCAACTGGACTGATTTAAAAGAAAATGTCTGAGTTTAGAGAAGAAATGGGGAAATTACTTGATGATGTTGTTGCGGACCTGAGAGACAACAGGGTCGAGGAGGACGAGCAGTAAATACCCAGAGAGGTGGAGGAACTCAACACGGACGTTAAGGACACACTGCTCCTTCTGGGTTTCTTCCATTGACGTGGATTTCTCCGGTAAAATTTCAACCAGGCCCATCAGCGAACAGGAGGAGGAGCTGTGAGCGATGACGCTGATTTTCTGCGCTGATTTAGTCTGCCTGTAGTTTAGCACTGACACAGGAGGAAGTGAACATTCAGTCCATGTTAATAAGGCTTCCAAATTAAACTAAACTTGTCTCACAAAACTTGTAGCACTCATTTACAGCCTTCTTGTTCGGCTCGCTACTTCTCTCAGGGGATGGTTGTTTACAGCCATAGGCGTAATTGGCGGGGTGGGGGGTGGGATGGGGGGGTTAATTCAATGAAATGATCCAGTGAATATAACCCAGCCAATAAAATGACGTCACTTGCTCAAACACTATAGAAATTAACAAGTTAAGTACACAGAAGCAACTGTCTTGTTGTCTTTAGGCAACTTTGACCTGATTTAAAAAATTACAATGTCAAATATGTTCGTTTAAGCATGAGTGCTGAAAATGACATGCAGGACTTTAGAGCTGCTTAAAGAGGAAAATACATCTGGACCAGTCCTGTGTTTGTCTGTGTCTCTTTCCTGTCCCAAACCCAGCCGGTCGAGGCAGATGGCTGCCTGTCCTGAGCCTGCTTCTGCTGGAGGTTTCTTCCTGTTAAAGGGGAGTTTTTCCTCTCCACTGCTGCCGGTGTGCTGCTCAGGAGGGGCAACTGTGACGAAGCAAAGATATGGCGCAGTCTGCTGGCTTCTTTAGATGGATGGATGGATGGATGGATGGATGGATGGATGGATGGATGGATGGATGTGTACAGTGCCCTGAGACATCAGTTGTTGTGACTTGGCCCTATCAACGGAATAGAATTGAACTAATTTTTAGATTAATGCTGCCCACCAGAACAAGAGGCTCTTTTATACCAGGTTAGACCAGATCAGGCCTCGGGACAGAAAGACATGTAAAAGGAGACCTAAAAACAAGGCKGAAATCCAGACTGATATAAACAAAATCATCAAGAAGCCTTATTTAGTAAGTAAGTAAGTAAGTAAAGTTTAATTTATATAGTGCCTTWCACAGAAATAAATTCACAAGGTGCTGTACATTCAGTGATGTCATTTAGTGATGAGTTCAGAAATATATCATTTTATAGCCAAACTTATCTTTGTATTTTTAGTCCAGTTTTAATGTTTTTATATTTGATTTATTTAATTTTTGTGTCATATTTGAATATTCTGCACTTTTCTTTTTATTATCAGTTTCTCAGTTTGGTTGTTTGTTTGTGTTTGTTGCCAAATTTCTTTTAGATTTCCTTTGTGTGTATCTCCCACGTGTCTTCATTTTAGACGTTTTTAATTTTTTTAAACTTTTTTTCTGTCTCTGGAGAATGTATACTTTTATAGGTTTTGCAACAAATTCTGAGGTTTTTCTTCAGCCACAGCCTGAGCAGTAATTCGTTTGATTAAAGATGTTTTAGATAAYCTTTCCTCAGTTTCTGTGCTTAAAAGGAGCCAAAAAGTTTCAGTTTTGCCTGTAGTTTAATAAATAATTCAGATCTTTTGGAGTGGTTATGGATTTGTCTTTGAACAGCCTGAGTTTGGATGAAACCTCCAGGATGCTTTTTTTTTTTTGGTTTCCTCCCATATCCTAGAAGGCAGTTTGCTTCTTCCCGCCTCGGTCAGAAACCAGGATGGAAATGAGATGTAAATCCTCCCCCCGCTGCTTGGTTCAGCGTGTGCACACATGTCAGAGCTGCCAGCGGTTGTAACTGTTCTGAGGTCTGTGTGATCGATTCCGGTCCGGACCATCAGCCCAGTCGGAGCTCGCTTCTGTTGGGTAAACAAGGCGACAAAAAATAACAAACCCGAGGTGTGTTTGAAGATCYTTATCGTGTCCTTTGGTTTCTCTGATGTTAACTGAACATCACACATGTGGAGAGGGTTAAACAGGTGTAGGCAGACAGATGTTACAGATGTTTCATCATTGAATTAATCTGGACTCCTGTTCTTACAGGAAGATGTTGTGGAGTCTGAGCTCCAGCAGCTCAGGATGTTTGCAACGTTTTGTTTTTTTGCTGAGGTCGTGGGTTTGATGGTATCAGGCTGTTTCTCAGTGATGACAGTAAAAACAGTCAGGAGGTGCTGAGGGCCGAGCTGACCCGCATGCTGCTCCTCAGACACTTCTACATGACTGCACACACACCCACACACACACACACACACACACTCAGGATCACGTCATCGCACGTTCCAGGTCTGATGAGTTTCTGGGCTTCTTGGAGGAAACATTTTCTGTTTTCTGAATGCATGTTGATGTTTCAGTTCTGAGCTGTAAATATAACCAACCGTTCAGTCAAAGCTGCAGTTTTCTGCACAGTTTAGTCCAGGACTGTTCAACTAAATTGCTCAGGGGGCCACAGTTACTCAAAGCTGGACATCCAGGTGTGATTAGTTGGGTGGGGTGTAGTTTGGCAGTAGGGGAAACACTAAAAGTTGCATTAAGTAAAAGAGCAAGAGTTATCTTTTTACTTTTTAATTAAAATAGCTTTAAAATATTTTCTACATTAAGTAAAAAAACAATAACAAAAAAAAATCAAATGTAATGTTTTACGGGGAGGGACCTGGAGGCCGGAAATGAAGTCACCCGCGGCCAGATGTGGCCTGCCAGCCACAAGTTGGATAGCCCTAACAAAGGCTGTGAGCTACACTTTAGTGTTTTTAATATTGAAGCTTAGCCCCTAAATATTACGTTTAATCAATTAATTGTTTATTTAACTGCAAATCAAAGGACACATCACCAAAAATGTGTTTTAAAATCACCACCGATGCAAGTTCTTTAAGTAAAATAAGATCTTTTGATTTTTCTTTAGGTCTCACAGGTTGGACAATATCTGGATCACTGAACTCCAGTCGAAAATGAGGTAATTTTTTTCATCTCAGACTGATATAAATCCAGCCTCCTCAGTGGAAAAACTACAAACTATTACATAAACTCTTCAACAAATTCTATAAAATTCCGTTTAGAATTAAAATCATAATAAAGAAGTTATTAAAAAGTGATGTTTGATTCTGCAGGATGCCACAGTCTGCAGCTTGTTTTGTTTTTTGTGACCTCGCTTATTTGCTGCATCTCAGCAACAAATTTGAAGATAAGATTTTTTTTGTACAGAAAGTTTGCAAATATAAATCTGATCCTTTCACTGATATCCTAAAACCTTCCCATCTGTCTTCTGTCTTGATATAAATTTCAACTTTCAGTCTTGTTTTTGGTCTGATTAGGCAGTAAGTTTCCCTGATTTGATGCTGAGAAACAAAATCTCACATCATGAACCTGCCYCTGCCGTGCTTCACTGCAGCGATGTTCGCAAACTAAAGACTGCAGAGGGAAAATCTTTAAACTCATCTATACTCGTTGAATTTAAAGCAGGATGGAGCCACAAAATCTAACAAATAATTCAAATGTTGTTATTTATCATGTGAAAAAGTTAAAAAAAACTAAAAAAAAAAAACAGTATCAGTCTTCAAAATCTCAAACATTTGAGAGAAAACCTCACTCTGCACAATAATCTTTTATTTTGAGGATGAATGTTTGGTTATTTTTCTCTCCTCCTTCTATCTTTTTCCATACCTGTTTGAACTTTACCATCAAGCAGAAGTTTGAGGCCTTAACAGGCAGCAGGTTGTTGGAGGAATGCTGATAAACAGAATCACTGACATTCCGGCGCATCATGGACATTTCAGAATGCTATTTAAAGACTCGCAACCATGGGATTTTTTTTGTCATCTGCTCTAAGAGACACACATTTAGTAAGCAAAACAGAGCTTCTCAGAAAAAGTCAAATTTTCCAGAAAGTCAGAGAGAAAAATGCACTAAATATGTTTAATTTGGGTTATTTATTACGTTTTAACTCTAAAATACAATTTTTAATGTCATGTTCTGCACTAATTAAAAAGAATATAAGACATAAATTTATTTCTTCTGCTGTCAAAGCCTTTTGTATCTTCACTTTACAACATCCACTCAGACAACAGAGCCCTCGTTTTGTTTAACGGACACTTTGCGTGAAACCACAATGATGGCAGTCTTGTGACTTACAGGTACTTTCAGAAARGTAAAGACAACAGTGTGTGAGCCGACGCACCTCACATGAGGGCCAAACGAAGACAATCGCGGATGGGACTGCTTGGCTGACTTCAGCGACTGAAGGCGGTTATTGTTGAAGGCGTGAGAGACGCCCAAACAAGCTCTGCAACTTGTCACCTGCTTGAGCCGCCCCCATCTGCCCGGTCCAGTTCTGCTTCAGTCTGAGAGCTCAGCAGCAATCACAGCTCGTCACTCTTCGCCGCAAAGATTAGCTCAACTAAACGTCGTTCAAATATCAGAAAGTTCAATGCATATTCAGAATGGCATCTTAGAGTGATATTTCTGATCTTTTGAAACAGGGTTTATTTAGAAAATTTAAACCTCTTGCTCATGTTGGCCCCTTTGTGTTATTTCTGTTCTTTTAAAAGTTGTTCAAGACACATAAAAACATCTAAAAAGTATATTTATTACATTTTTCACTTAAGCACAGTTTTGTTAGCGATGCAATGCATTCTGTGGATGATGTGTTATGGTCGAGACTAAAACTCAAAGGGTTAAGTTTAAAAAGCTATGATGTGACACAATAAAGTTCTATTTTGTATAAATGTTCTGCACAATATATGGGTTGAAATGATCAAACATGATGTTTGGTAAATATTATAAAGTAAACATTTAGCTCTGAAGCTAATGCCATGTGTTTAACTATGGCATTAGCTCCCAAGCTAATATCATTAGCTCAAAAGCTTGCGCCATAAAAACACCAGTTATTTATATATTAGCTCAGAAGCTAAGGCTATATTTCACAAGATAGGCCAAAACAAAGGCTGTTCAACTATGCTCCAGGGACCACAATTACCTAATGCCCACACCTCAGGGGTTGGACATGGGGGGGTGGGGGTTGTGGTGATTACGTTGCCCCAGATAATCAGGGGAAACACTGTATTTTGTATAAGACCAAGTATTATCTTGTAAAAAAAAWTATACGTAAAAATGTACAGTTGATTTAAAATCTAGGTTTATATTTGCAGGCCGATGGAAATACCTTCTGAGCTAATATTATGTTAGCTAATAAGGTGGTCCGAGGGTCGCAAGTAGCTCTGGCCTATTAGCTCAGAAGCTAATGTCATATATCACCATTAGCTCTACCATATTTAAGAGSTGAATGTCAGACATTGACAAAATAGTGTTCAAAATTAATAGAGCTCGTACTGCTTTTTTAGTCATGTTTTTACATTTGAAGTAAATGTTTATCAGATTTGTGATGTTACTTACAATTATAGTTCACACCTATTTTTGGCTGAACAGTTTGAACTCAAACTATAGTTGTCAACAAAACAATGTAGGTAAACAATGATCTTATTATGGCTGTTTGTTCATGGTTTGAGTGCATTTTTAAATGCCCGATGTGAAAGAAAACCAATCAGMGTGACATGAACAAAACTCATGTCACCTTCATGTCGCTGAGCACGTATTCGGGCTCGTCCGSTCCCACACAGAATCAGCGAGGAGGAATCCGTCCTGATCAAACCTGAAAGACGTCTTTAGGAGGAAGCAGGAAACCYAGCTAACCTGTTCGTGAAAATCTTCTTCAGTCATCTTGAATCAACTTTTTCTTTTGACTCATTTAAAGGTTTTGCTATCTGCGCCTCAACGGTCAAGTTGATACAAAGACATCTCGTTGGACCAATAAACTTTAAGCAATCCTGTGTATTTTCAGAGACGCTGAAGCTGAAGGAAAATTGAGTCATTCTGGTTGTGATGAGGCAATACTTCAAAGTGACATCAGACCTGAGTTCAAACAAAACCTGATTTTTATTTTTGTTATGTGTAAGTTCTGTTGTTCTGGATGAATCAAATCAGCAGRGGGCACCGTTCTGCTAATCCACTYACAGCAAAGCAAACGTTTTGTTTAGTGGATTAACATTTTTGCTATCTTTGGAAAATGTGAGCGGACCGTCCACTAACCATTTAGTTTACTCGCAGATTCAATTGCCTGTSGTTTTAACTGTTTGGTGGATATAGAAATCGCTTCTTTATTAGCTTTTAGCAAAGATTCTTACATTTCTGTGGATACCACACGTCTATGTTTAAAAGACAGACCTTCGTTTAGCGGTTTAACGTTTGTGTTAGCGGATTGGTAGTTAGCAAAGTTAAGGTTTTGGTTAGTCGTGCCTGCCACTGAAAAAAAACATGTATTGATCAGAATCTTTTATGCATTGTTTAAATAATAAATTTCAAGAGAACATATATTTATTTACTATGGTTTGGGTCTGAAGTAGCTAACTAAGAACAAGATCAGCCCGCAGCCCTTTCGTTCCAGAGTTGGGAAATTAAATGTCGTGATATTGGCAGCTATCTTCATTGGGTTTGACTCCGGAAGTTACAGATCCATGTCCAACAATTACTTTTTGAGTTTTATTAAAATCCGTCCAGTAAGATATCCTGTTAACAGACAAACAGATGATGTCAGCAGTTGATGCTGAAATTTAAAGCGACTCTCGGGTAGACTGCCACACTTTGAACATTTGTAAAAATTACTGAATTAAGTTTCTGTTTTCTAAGTTTATTTAGCTGCAGCAACTACTTTGGATTGGATTGACTTGATTGATTGATGTTCATCCAGTCATTACATATAGAACATATAATRAAAATCTGTCTACTGGTTTAGGTGATGTTTCGCTAACAGACAAAACGAGCTGATGCTAACATTTTAGTCAAAGATGTAGTGTGGTGTGTAGCGTTTGGAGCAGAGGAGTCCAAWCCTGGTCCTCGAGGGCCGCCATCCTGCATGTTTTGTTTCTCCACTCCAACACATCTGATTCAGTGACAGYATTACCTRTTCAAGTTCTGCAGAAGCCTATTTATCACCCATTCACTCAAACGACGCTTCAAATGACTATTTTATTTAGATTTGTTTTCTTTGACATTTTAAAATGACGTGTTTTGTTTTCATATTTTCAATTCATGATTGGAATAAATAACTAAACAACAAATAAACCAGGTGTGAGCAGAGAAACTTCTAAATAAAACCAGAACAGTGGCCCTCTAGGCCCGTTGGACCCCTCTGACTTGATGATGAGGATGACCATCAGCTACTTCTACACTAAAAATGTGCTTTTTGTTGCAGCCATCTTGAATCCTGTTGAGCSTAAACATTGTAAATCCAACGATTGTTTCCCTAAGAGGTTTGTTAAAATCCATTTCATGTTTGGGGAGAAGTTTTTCTAACACAAAACACAACTTTTTGCCTTTCAGTGGCAGGCAATAAGCAAAGAAATCTGGCTTGAATGAGTTTGGGTGTAAAATGGATAATTTATTCAAATGTCTCTGACATCCGTAACAAGTCTCTTTGGAGATCCCGTCAGCAGGATCTCTCCAGACATGTACGTACCTGCAGGAGTTTCTGTTGTTTTCAGGCCAACCGTTCCTTGGTGTTTACTGTTTTACGGCTTTTTGTGTTTACCACCTGAGAAAGCACACGTGCTCAGATCGATATGTCTGAGAAATCAACAGTGTARTTCACCAGGGAAGCTGTGATTTATTGTGAGCGAGCGAGCCAGGAGGGTTTTCTTTGTGTTGTCTTGAACTGCAGAAAGGCAGAAGCCGAGGCAGCCGGGAGAAGTCATGCCCAGACAGAGAGCAGCAGAGGGAGTTTCACTTGAACGGAGGCCAAAGCCACGAGCCTGAGGGGCCTGAGACCCAACGACGACAGTCAGGAGACTCCTCCACACGGGACTAAAGATAAAAGTTACATTAGCGACACTGTCGATGACTTAATAACATAAAATCTAAACACAACCTGACACAGAGCAGACTGCAAGCTGTACGTCAAGACCACTAAAAAGTAAAACTTGGTAATAAAACTGTTTTTTTTAAATTACAGAACCATAATTTCTTACTTTTGTTAAAACTATATCACACTTATAAAAAAAACTATATCATACTGTATTTATAAGCATTTATGACATTTCCAAAAAGCCTCAATAAACCGTGAAAGAATATTTTTCGACCAAACTGATTAAATTAGGTGAAATAGCTCACTAATTAAATGGTAACACTTACTTTTTAGTATTTTAGCATTCAGAAAACCAGAAATCATTTTTATTTTACTTAATAAAACTAAGATTTTTTGCAACTTTCTCCGGCCTCAGGTGCAGTCATCTGTGTTGATTCGTATCTCGAGGTTTATTTAAGTGTGGGCTGTGGAGGAGGAAAAAAAGTGCTGCTCGAGCTGCACTCGTGTGTTTTGTTAAACTGGACCAGTTCAACCAGCAGCACCTCTGCTCTTAGTCCATCTCAGGGCGGAGCAGAGAAATCACAGCAGTTGACAAGCTGGATTAGGCCTAACCGTCACCTGTGGTTTTTGTTTGTTTGTGAGTGTGTGTAGTTTCACTTTGTGTGTGGCTGGATCCACACAAACACAAGCACGCACACACAGAGCAACACAGTTTAGTTTATTTTGCTTTACTTATTCTACAAGCTCTTAAATTTACTCACTTTGTTTCAGTGAACGTTGTTAATCCAGTTCTAAAGGTGGAGTTCACACATTTCATTTGTTTATACTCTAATATCTCCTCAAAGACAGTTTTTTAGCAGAAACATGAATCCATCAAATGACAAATCCTTAAGAGATGGTGATTTAATGAGATTATAAAACATACAAAAATCAGGTGATCTCTGCTGCTGTGAAGTTTTTTTTATTTATTTTAATGACAAAGAACAAAGGAGTTTGAGAACAAAAACAATTTAACCCAGACAAWATGCACTTTTTTTTCTGATTTATTTCTTAAAAAAAAAACTTTAACTGTAACAATCAGTGTCAGCAGCAGTGTGACCATGGAGCCACAAGAGGGAAGCAGATACAAAAAAACAAACTTCTCTTCTGGTGTTCTCTTTGAACAAATCACTCCTTTTTTAATTTTATATGGCTTTGATTTTAAAATTCAAGGTCAGATCTGGATGATTTTATTAGTCAAAACTGTCTAATTGACATTAGGAGGTTTTATATAAAAAAGTAGAAAAAGATTTTTTTTGTTGCCCAGACCTGTGCTCTTTAACAAAATATTAAAAAACTATACAAAAAAAAAAAAATAGAACATTTGGTGAAAATATTGGGTTTTTATATATATCGGATTGGTTTCTGCAGAGTTTAAAGTGGACATATCAAGCTTTTAAATCCCTTTTTTTCACATTTAAATCATTCAGTTGGGGTCTGCATAAAGTGGAACTGGAACTCTTTGGTCTGACTTCATCCTTAATGTAACTCCACAAGCCCCCTCCTTCACCCCTTTCGGACYTGTGTCTCAGATCAACTCATTTTGAGGCTGTTTCTTTAAATCCAAAGGAGACGCTTCACGCCCCACCGCCTCCAGCTTTCAGACCAGTTCATTATAGTTTGATATCAGGGTATACAACTATATAGTAGCATAGATATTTTTAATTTACAAACTGATTACAAGATGTCAACAAGAGAAGACTCGTCCATCCAGTCCTACATGCTGGAGCCAGAGACAATATTGTAGTTGGTAAGTCCAGTTTTGGCAGTTCAGTCGCAAATAATTTGATGCAATAGTTCAGAAAACGTCAGAAAATAAGAGAAAACTGAGGGAGTTAAAAAAAAACCATGACCCAAACAGAACATAGATATCTTTGCAACACCAGGAGAAACTAAATTCAAATTTTTCACAATCATAGATACTCCCAGTGTGCAACAAAATCCATTTAAGTGTAAAAAAGTAGATTTTGCCTGATATGTCCATTTAATTTGAGTGTTTTATAAAGTTTTGCTTTTATTGAAAGTTAAGAAGACTTTTGCATAGTTGTGTTCTCCCAAAAAAGTAGGTGTGGTATTCATTACACCAATTCTGTACCTTTCAGAGGGCTTCCTTTTACAATAACTAGTTGAACGACTCGTCGTGTCAGAGTTGATGAAGGTCTTTACAGCTGATGTAGAAGCCCCGCTCTCCATCCAGTCACTGTCATCAGATGTTGATCCAGAGTCTGACGAGTCACTCAGCRGAGAGTCTGACGAGTCACTCAGCTGAGAGTCTGACGAGTCACTCAGCTGAGAGTCWGACTCCTCATCTTCATCCAGATCCTCAAACTCAGAAGAGAAGGAATCCAACCCGTCTGGATCCCAGATGATTTCTATTTCTGTAAAGTCCTCTTCGTCTGCTGACGCTTTCATTGGATCAGCTGATGTGCTGGGTAGAAATTCTCTGTCTTCCACTGTGTGCATATAAAGCTGTGGGAACGGTTTATCTTCATCATCCTCACTCTTRAAAGGATGTGCAGTGAAGTCAAACCCATTGGCCTCAGTCGTTAATGTCCTGTTGAGCTGCTCTGCCTCCAGACTGCTCCAGTCCTCTTCTTCCTTCTTGATGTGGACTGTCCCTGGGTCCTGCTGGTCCACATCAGGCCTCTGCTCTTCTTCTTTAATCCGCACCAGCTGCTGAACATCTGGGGGAAACATAATGACATTATGCCATGACTTCTAATGATTTCAAGACTTTTTAGCTAATTATAGTTACTAGCAATTAACTATAATAAATGCTAAAATGCAGTGTCCTTCAAACAGGTTAGCCGAACCCCCGCCCCCTGCAATCCAGGATCATGTAATACGGCTTACTTTTATCCTAGTTGTTTAAAGGATCAATCTTATCCTGGTCCAACGTTTCAAGATGACCAAATCTGGATAATGAGAGCTCTAAACTGGACTGTATATAACAAGGCTAGGAGAAGAAAAAAAAAACGGTAGAACTGCCAGCATGAGGTCACTCAAAGCATATTAACTTGAAGAAACATAAACAGAAAATACAAACCCACTATTTGTTTAATTATTATCTTATGACCAATCATAAAATGTCTGCTTCAAAAAAAGAAGCAAAATATAATGTTTCATGTTTTAAATATTAAACTCAATTTTTAAACTTAAAATAACAATCTTGAAATGTCCTGATGAGTCTTAAAAACCCAGGTAGAAAAATCAAAAATAGTTTAGTAGGTGTTCTGGACAGTTTCTTCTTTAATGAGACAAAACGTTTCATCAAAGAAATAAACTGTACTAAAGACCTACTAAACTTTTTTTGATCAAACTTAAACAAACAAACAATTACAAAAGGAAAAAAAACATGATTTCCACCAAATACAAGATAACTGTGCTGCGGTCTCTTTATTTTGACAGAGCTGCTTGTGTTTGATGACATGTAACTCACACGTTGTTGCTTCTGGTTGGTTGCAGGAAGAATCTCCTAGATTGTGGCAGGTTGAACCTTTAATAAATGCAGTGGTCTTTGTCCTGATGCATCTCAGTAATCCAGGTAAAAAATCAAAACGAAAAAAATTGTATAGGTTTTCTGGACGGGTTCTTCTCTAATGAAACGTTTAGTCTCTCTTCCAAGAGACTTCTTCAT